ATCATGCAATATATAGTGTAAAATGAAGGAAGCTTTCAACCCGCTCTTCACAATAAATAGACGACACATGGTACCTCTCAAGCTGGCCAGTATGTGATCACCATATAGAGCACTTTACAAGTATACTTGATAAAACACATAAACAAAGCATAAGGATCGACCTTATGCTTTCTTTATGTGTTTTATCTTCTTCTTCGCATTATAGTGTACATAGGCGCAACTATTTTTAAAAAAATTCAGTCGATTGAGACGCTGTTATATATTTCAACATACATATTTTTATTCGTTGAATTTAGTTCCCGTCGTTTCAAACGAATTTCAAAGCACAGCATCAGCAAACACCATGTTGCCATTTACTCATCACTCAACACCAATACATTCACGTAAACTTGTAATTTTGTGATTAGAAACCTCGTATAAATAATCCAGAAGGAAAATTGACGTCATCTGACTGTCTGGAAAATCAGAATCCAAACTCAGTATTCCCCCACTATGCACGAGTGCTTCGTGAATGATCCTTAGAGCTTTCGGTGTTCGTTTCACATCCTCATATTTGAAATACGTCTCAAACGTCAGGCTGCCTATAACATATAAATTAAAATGAAAAATAACAATTTGTGACACAATGACGATGGAGTAGCATTTACATTTGTGTTAGTAGTTCTTATTCGAGGCACATCAATTTCATATATATAACATTTTAATTATTCTATGTAGACTCAGTTAAATAACATCGTTACTCAGAGTACTGATGATGACGACGATGATGAGCTTATAAACAGGATTTGTCACTACAGTACGTCAAGGTTCAATTAAATATATAAATACAATAATTTTTTTAATAATTCAACTATAATTCAATAAATAATTATGATGAAAATATTTGAGAATGCGAGTTTCTTACTAAAACATGGTAGTGATAATAGCAATAATGTAGTACTTTATTTAACGTAGATATAGAGTTCTAAATTATTGACCCGATAGTAAATATAATATTATGTTACACGTCAAGATAATCAAACTCAATGCTAATCCTGCTGTGGATGAGCCAAACAAGCAGATGGGTGGCATCGCAGTTCCCAGTGTCACACTGAAAGCTTGTTTGCAAGTGTTTCTGTACTGTGAGGCCCAAATATCAGCCACAAAAAATAGATTCTTTTTTTTTTGATCAGTTAAAAGTTGAATTATATCACAAAATAACAAGAAAAACCGGTGCAGACAAGTTAATTAGGTAAATATGGTATATGAAATAGTGTTTCCCATCTGCCACAAACTGGAATTTGAAAATTGGTACGCACGCACGCCTCCCCCTCACCCAAACATACCGACTTGAAGACCAAACAGTGTGCAG